GGTGCGATGGGTCAAGCCTGTAATCCCAGCACTTTGGGAGGCTGAGGCGGGCAGATCACGAGGTCAGGAGTTCAATACCAGCCTGGCCAACACAGTGAAACCCCATCTCTACTAAAAATACAAAAATTAGCCAGGCGTCACGGCATGCACTTGTAGTCTTAGCTACTTGGGAGGCTGAAGCAGGGGAATTGCTTGAACCCAGGAGGCAGAGGTTGCAGTAAGCTGAGATCATGCCACTGCACTCCAGCCTGAGCTACAGAGCAAGACTCCATCTAAAAAAAGAAAAGAAAAAGTAAATTCATCTTAATTGAAAAGAAAAAAAAGGTAGCCAAAATAATTTTCACTTGAAAATTTTAATATATTGGGTGAAACTTCTTTTACAACATGGAATCTCTTTTTTTTTTTTTTTTTTTTTTTTTTAGACAGGGTCTCACTATGTTGCCCAGGCTGGTCTTGAACTCCCGGGCTCAAGTGATCTGCCTGCCTCAGCCTCCCAAAGTGCTGGGATTACAGGCAAGAGCCAGTGTGCTGGGCCTATAATTCTTATTTTTCCATTTTGAAAGGAAAAACTGAATTGGAAATTAAGAAAGATACACACAATCCTGCTTATTTCATTGAAAACCAACTTGCAATCCTTTCTAAATATAGTTTTAACAAATTTGGTTATGTAGTTTCCAAATCCACAATCTCTGTTAAAAACAGCAAATTTAGGCCAGGTACACTGGATCACACCTGTAATCCCAGCACTTTGGAAGCCCAATGCTGGAGGATTGCTTCAGACCAGAAGTTCAAGGCTGCAGTGAGTCAAGATCACACCACTGCACTCTAGCCTGGGTGACAGATTGACAGTTTCTAAAAATAGTAATAATAATAATTTTTTTTTAATAAAGCAATTTTTCAGGCAGTTTTAGAAGTGAGAAGGGAATGCTACAGATAAGCAAATTAAACAGCTACTTTAAAAGTACAACTCACAACCAAGTAACAAAACACAAGAAAAAGCATTTTTTTTTTCTTTTGGTTGGGGGAGAGGAGTCTTGCTCTGTCACCCAGGCTGGAGTGTAGTGGGCCTGATCTCAGCTCGCTTCAACCTCCACTTCCCAGGTTCAAGCAATTCTCCTGCCTCAGCCCGAGTAGCTGGGATTACAGGCAGGCACACACCACCATGCCCGGCTAATTTCTGTATTTTTAGTAGAGACAGGGTTTCACCATGTTGGCCAGGATGGTCTCGATCTCCTGACCTTGTGATCCACCCGCCTCGGCCTCCCAAAGTATTAGGATTACAGACGCAAGCCACCACACCCGGCCTCTTCTTTTTTTTTTTTTTTGAGATGGAGTTTTGCTCTTGTCGCCCAGGCTGGAGTGCAATGGGTTGATCTCAGCTCACTGCAACCTCCACCTCCTGGATTCAGGCAATTCTGCCTCAGCCTCCCAAGTGACTGGGATTACAGGTGCACCCCACCATGCACAGTTAATTTTTGTATTTTTAGTAGAGATGGGGTTTCACCATGTTGGCCAGGCTAGTCTTGAACTCCTGACCTTAGGTGATCCGCCCACCTTGGCCTCCTAAAGTGCTGGGATTACAGGCATGAGCCACCGCACCTGGCCTTTTCTTTTCTTTATGTATTATTATAATTATTGCCCTAAAGGTAATAGTATATGACACATGCTTTAAGGAGTCAGGGAAGAATAAGTTTATCAAGAATTTAAAATCAATTTTAAGTGATTAAAATGTTTTTTTCTTTTCAAGAGTCTCACTCACTCACCCAGGCTGGAGTGCAGTGGCACGATCTTGGCTCACTGCAACCTCCACCTTCTTGATTCAAGTGATTCTTGTACCTCAGCCTGCGGAGTAGCTGGGATTACTGGTGTGCACCACCACGCATGGCTAATTTTTATAATTTTAGTATAGAGATGGGGTTTCACCATGTTGGCCAGGCTGGTCTCCAGGTGATCTACCCACCTTGGCCTCCCAAAGTGCTGAGGTTACAGGCATGAGCCACCGCGCCTGGCCAGGTGATTAAAATAATTTTTTAAGAGGTGCTCAGCTATCTAGAAAACCATCCTGGATTCATTTATTCTTTGAGGAACACATACATTCTCTCCCTCCTCTCTCACACACACAGTCTCTAAAATATACATAAACTTAATATCACACTTTTCCACTCCTAGAAGTATTTTATTTTGGGGGCTAGCAGAGATGTTAAAATATCTAACATGTCCTTGATATATTAATGGTAGCACATAAAATTTGGCATAAAATTTACCATTTTCTAGGGACTGACTATTACTCAGCAGCTTTGCCTGCCTTCTTTCCAAGGCCAGTTGTTTATTTCTCTCAATTCTTTGTTGTTGCTCTTCTGTTAGGCTTCTACTTGACTCAGAAGCAAATATCTCACTTTCAGATGAGTTTGTCACAAAGGGATCTAATTCAGTAGCAGTTACATCATGTTCATTATTTTCCGCAACTTCATCTGCAATAGAAAAGAAACAGTACATCTGCAGTGTTAGACTAGTTAGAGAAGGGCTTCTCATTGAAAAAGGATTTAAAGTGGCACGGTGCCAGACCTGAAGAAACAATTTGTGAGGTATAAGAATGTTGTGAATACATGCTTGATTCAATTAAATAAGAAATATTTATAATTCAGTTTAAAAAGGCATGTTAAGTCAAATGAAAATACAATTTAAAATATGCATGAAGGCCGGGCACGGTGGCTCACGCCTGTAATCCCAGCACTTTGGTAGGCCAAGGCGGGTGGATCACAAGGTCAGGAGTTCAAGACCAGCCCGGTCAACGTGGTAAAACCCCATCTCAACTAAAAATATAAAAAAATTAGCTGGGCACGGTGGCACATGCCTATAATCCCAGCTACTCGGGAGGCTGAGGCAGGAGACTTGCTTGAACCGGGACCTGGGAGGCGGAGGTAGCAGTGAGCAAGATCGCATCGCACCACTGCATTCCAGCCTAGGCTACAGAGCAAGACTCTATCTCAAAAAAAAAAAAAAAAAGAAAAGAAAGGAAAGGAAACAAAAAGTTCTTGGTTGTAATTAGAAATATTTTATACTTGGCCTAATCAAAGAACTTAAGGAATCCAAACCATATTCTTGTTCTACATTAAACCAACACATTTCAATAGTTTCCCAGTGACTACATGGGAAAAGGTTATTTTATTTTATTTTATTTTTTGAGATAGAGTTTCGCTCTTGTAACCCAGGCTAGAGTACAATGGTTCGATCCTGGCTCACTGCAACCTCCACCTCCCAGGTTCAAGTGATTTTCCTCCATCAGCCTCCCAAGTAGCTGGGATTGATTACAGGCACCCGCCACCATGCCCAGCTAATTTTTGTATTTTTAGTAGAAACAGGGATTCACTATGTTGACCAGGTTGGTCTCAAATTCCTGACCTGAGGTGACCCACTTGCCTCAGCCTCTCAAAGTGCTGAGATTACAGGCATGAGCCAATGCATCCAGCCAGTAAAAGGTAAGTTTATATAGAACATTATCTTTTATAGAGTTAAACACAGACAAATGAAAAAAGAAATTTAAAAATCTATGGACATATTTCCAAATGAATTTCTTTTTAAATTCAGTGTGGTTTATATTATAAGTAATAAATTCTTAAAGCCCTGTAAACCAGTTAACTCAAGGTAGGATGTCCCCAAAATGATCCACAGTGGTATGAAAGTAAATAATAGATCTTCCATTTATATTTCATTTAAGAATTAAGAAGAACTATGTTTTACTAACACATTTAAAGTAAGACTGGCAGTTGTTAACTGTCCCTTGTCCTTATGATAGTTACTGTCTGATCTGTGAGCCACTCTATAGGCAAGATCCACACTGTAAAAGGGTGGAGAATGGGGCCCCTACTCACTTTACAATTTCAGATATACAGCTGTTTCTGACTGCCCAGTCAAATAAACTTACGGATTTCATCTTACTTTAACCAAACAACCCCAACAAAATGCACAAGTGTTAGGTTAAAAAGATTCTACAAAATAACAAAATGTCTCTAAGTAGAATAGAAGCACAAGCAAAATAAAAAAACAGCAGAGTTGACACTTTACCTTCTATCTACATCATTCATATTATGAAATTTAAAAAAAAGATAGGCCAGGCACGGTGGCTCAAGCCTGTAAT